AGCCACATGCGAACCCTACCCCTACCCCCCATGATTTCTGAGGGGAGGGTGGGGCTCACTCTCGTTCGGGAGCTCCCGAGCAAAGTGAACCCCACCCTTCCTCTCAGAAATCGTGGGGGGTAGGGGTAGGGTTTGCACGTGGTCCCCTATCTGGGGCCCTCGCCCTTTCCTCCCACCCATCGAGGATCTTCTGACCCGGGTCAATCCAGACCCGGGTCAGCAGGAAACCAAAAACTGCAATGCAGGAACAAAAACTGCAACGCAGGTCTTCGCAAACCCAGGTCAGCCAACATGTGCGGCCGCCTCGCGGCCACGAGCGGCTCCCTGACCCGGGTCAGCCGGAGGGGGCCTTCGCAGGATCCTGCAGGATCCGGCGCCCTGGCTGACCCCCGTCTGCATTGACCCCCGTCTCAAAGCTCCCGAACCCACCCCTCTGCCCGTGCCACGGCGGGGCCGCCGCCGCGGGCGGTCCCCGCTCGCTGCCGCCGGCGCTCCGCCGCGCCGGCGCTTTTCTCGCCGCGCCGCGGGGCCGCCCGGGGCGCGGGGCGCGCAGGCTGCCCCCACCGTCCGCCCCGAGTCGGTGGGTGCCGGCGGCCGTCGGCCGCGAGGGATCGGGGGGGAGGACTCGCGGGGGGGGGGGGGCTCCTCCTCCTCCTCCTCCTCCTCCTCCTCCTCCTCCCCTCCTCCTCCTCCTCCTCCTCCTCCTCCTCCCCCTCTTTCTCCTCCTCCTCCTCTCCTCCTCCTCCTCTCCTCCTCCTCCTCCTCTCCTCCTGAGAGCTTCGGGCCGCGGACTTCGCCGATCGATCGCCCCGATGTCCTCCTCCTCCTCCTCCTCCTCCTCCTCCTCCTCCTCCTCCAGCTTCTCCAGCGTTTTCCCCCTCCTCTTCCCGCCTCTCCTGCCCGCCCCTCGCCCGTGGAGGCCTGGGGGCCACCCATGGTGGATACTACTCTCTTAAGTCGGGCCTGTCCCCCTACAGGCCGATTTTGGACGGAGAATCAAACATACCCCAACAAAAAGGCACCCAAAATGCTCAACGATGGTCAAAAAAAGTCCCCGGACTATTTTTGGACTATTTTTGAATACAGTCGGGGCCTTGACCAAAGGAACCCTAAATAAGGAACGAAGCCCCTTTTTTTATCCCAAGGAATAACGCATAGAGGAACGAAACATAACAAATAACGCATAAGGAACTGTAAATAACACATGCAAACCTAAGGAACGACCGAGCCCCTTTTGAAAAGTAAGTGTTCCTTATTCAAGCCGCCCACTGTATTCCTCCTGTCGAGGGACAGGCCCGACTGAATACTGCTCCTCCCCCCCGCCCATTCTCCACGAGTGCCGCTCTCCGCCCGTCGCGACCGCGGTGGCCGGGCCCCGCGAGCAGCGGGAGGATGGCCCGAAGAGCAAAAGCGGGACGAGATCAGCCCTTCGGGGTGCTCCCGAGGGAGAGGTTCGGCGGCAGGCGAGATGGGGGGGAAATGAGAAAGGGCCCCTCCCTCCTCTCTCCCCCCCTCCTCTCTCCCTCCTCTCCCTCTCCCTCTCCCTCTCCCTCACCCTCCCTCCTTCTCTTTGCCCTTCCGTGGCTCCCTCTCCCCCTCCCTCCTCGCTCCCTCCCTCCTATCCCTCCCTCCTCTCCCTCGAGGCATCCCTCTACCCCTCCCTCCCCCCTCGGGCCTTCTCGGTCGGGGATCTTCTGACCCGGGTCAGTCCAAACCCGGGCCAATCGGGCTTCGCGGGATCCCGCAGGATCCTGCAGGATCCTGCGCCCAAGCCCGGGTCAGTGCAACCCTGGCCCTGCAGGATCCTGCAAGATCGGGCGCTCTGACTGACCCCCGTTTGCATTGACCCCCGTCTCTTGGGCCCCGCCTCACAAGGCTCGGAAGTCCCCCAGCCTTCTGAA